GTAATCCTGCAGACTGCAATAAATGAAGCAACTTCAATGAAGGTTAAAAAAGAAAAACAAGTTAAGGAAATAGGTGAAACGGTAAAGGAAGAAGCAGAAATGGCATTCGAAATGGAATTACAAAAGCCTAGTAGTGATGCTACTCTAGCGGTAATCCTGCAGACTGCAATAAATGAAGCAACTTCAATGAAGGTTAAAAAAGAAAAACAAGTTAAGGAAATTGGTGAAACGGTAAAGGAAGAGGCAGAAGCGATAGAAATGGCATTCGATATGGAATTACAAAAGCCTAGTAGTGATGCTACTCTAGCGGTAATCCTGCAGACTGCAATAAATGAAGCAACTTCAATGAAGGTTAAAAAAGAAAAACAATTTAAGGAAATTGGTGAAACGGTAAAGGAAGAGGCAGAAATGGCATTCGAAATGGAATTACAAAAGCCTAGTAATGATGCTACTCTTGCCGTAATTCTGCAGACTGCAATAAATGAAGCAACTTCTATAAGGTTTAGAAAAGAAAAACAAGTTAAGGAAATAGGTGAAACGGTAAAGGAAGAGGCAGAAATGGCATTCGAAATGGAATTACAAAAGCCTAGTAATGATGCTACTCTTGCCGTAATCCTGCACACTGCAATAAATCAAGCAACTTCAATGAAGGTTAAAAAAGAAAAACAATTTAAGGAAATTGGTGAAACGGTAAAGGAAGCGACAGAAATGGCATTCGAAATGGAATTACAAAAGCCTAGTAGTGATGCTACTCTAGCGGTAATCCTGCAGACTGCAATAAATGAAGCAACTTCAATGAAGGTTAAAAAAGAAAAACAAGTTAAGGAAATTGGTGAAACGGTAAAGGAAGAGGCAGAAGAGACAGAAATGGCATTCGAAATGGAATTACAAAAGCCTAGTAGTGATGCTACTCTAGCGGTAATCCTGCAGACTGCAATAAATGAAGCAACTTCAATGAAGGTTAAAAAAGAAAAACAAGTTAAGGAAATAGGTGAAACGGTAAAGGAAGAGGCAGAAATGGCATTCGAAATAGAAGATGAGGCGAAGAGTGACGAAATGCCCTCAGAAATGCCTAAAGCAGAAACATCTAAATTGGAAGAATTCCTTGTCAAGCAGAATGATTTGGTTGACGAGCCTGTTAGAGTTGAAGAAAAACAAAGTAAAAAGAAAAAGAAGAAAAAGGAGCGTGAGGAAGTCGCAAAGATTGAAGAAGTTGTAGTCGAATTCAACCTTGGCAAACCGATGGAATCGGAGACACTGGAAGCTATTTTACTGCAAACTGCTTTCGATGCCAATCTGCTACAAATAGCGGAAGATAGAAAGGATAGAGGAAAGCTGCGAAGGGTTCCACAACTTGAAGAGGCGAAGAGTGATGAAATGCCCTCAGAAATGCCTAAAGCAGAAACATCTAAATTGGAAGAATTCCTTGTCAAGCAGAATGATTTGGTTGACGAGCCTGTTAGAGTTGAAGAAAAACAAAGTAAAAAGAAAAAGAAGAAAAAGGAGCGTGAGGAAGTCGCAAAGATTGAAGAAGTTGTAGTCGAATTCAACCTTGGCAAACCGATTGAATCGGAGACACTGGAAGCTATTTTACTGCAAACTGCTTTCGATGCCAATCTGCTACAAATAGCGGAAGATAGAAAGGATAGACGAAAGCTGCGAAAGGTTCCACAACTTGAAGAGGCGAAGAATGACGAAATGCCCTCAGAAGTGCCTAAAGCAGAAACATCTAAATTGGAAGAATTCCTTGTCAAGCAGAATGATTTGGTTGACGAGCCTGTTAGAGTTGAAGAAAAACAAAGTAAAAAGAAAAAGAAGAAAAAGGAGCGTGAGGAAGTCGCAAAGATTGAAGAAGTTGTAGTCGAATTCAACCTTGGCAAACCGATTGAATCGGAGACACTGGAAGCTATTTTACTGCAAATTGCTTTCGATGCCAGTCTGCTACAAATAGCGGAAGATAGAAAGGATAGACGAAAGGTTCCACAATTTGATGAGGGAAAGAGTGGTGAAGTAGAAATAGAAGAGCGTGGCGCAGGCGATGCAGAATTACTAGAACGAGGTCTCCTTGTTATGAAATGTGAAAAAGAGGAGGGAAAGAAGAAAAGTGATGCTGATTATGTCCTAAATGGCCATGATATTTTCGTCGATGTTAGCCTCGGCGAAATAATGGAATCAGAATTGAATGGTTCTCAGCAAACTGCTGATTCGCTCTTCCTACTGGATATCGAAGAAAAGAAGCTCATGCAAAGAATAAATAAATTTTCTCCATCTGGAGAGGTGAAGATTTATGATGCTTGCTGGGAATTGCCTAAAAATGAAGCAGAAGTGCCGAAACTAAAAGAGCTTGCTAAGATGAAGGAAGTTGTTGTACAGCTTAATACAGCTGAAAAAGGGGAAATTGCTGAGAATGTCGAGAAAGATCGAAAAACTTATATTGTTGCCGAGGTTTACCTTAATAAAGCGGTGCTATCGGAAGGGTTGGAAACTAGTTTAAGACGAAATTTTAGTTCCATCTTCCTGCAGATAAAAGAAGCGAAGAGACTTAAGCAAAAGATAAGTAGCATTATAATGGAACAAGAGTTGGAGGATAAGACGAAAGATGATCTGCTTCAAATTGTTGATATTGGTCGCTCGTTTAGTTTTGCTATGAGAAGAACTGAAAAAATTGGCGTTGGTGCAATCTTTGATTCCGAAAAATTGAATGAAAAAATTTCGTTAGATGAGGAAATCATACGTCCATCTGTTAATGGATATGCAACAACACTTGTCAAACATTTGCACAAAATTTTTTCTCATATCATCTTTTACTGTAATCAAAAGGCGTGTGAGTTAGACGAGTGCTTTCGTAAGGAAACATTCGACAATGCGATGTTTCTTACAATTATTCCAACTTTTCGTTTTGCAAATGTTTCCGTAGAATTTGCAGAGCCACCCACTATTATCAAATTGGACATCCCCAGTGCATACGGGCAAGATATTGCTATTTCAGGTAATGAAAAACGCTTTGTAATTTAATGCTGATTTGGAAATGTTTGTTCCAGTGCCTTTTTTAGGTGTTGACGCAGAAATAGTTGTTGCTGCAGGCGAAGAAATTGCTACCACACAAGCCATAGTTGATGTCATTGTATCAAGTTTTGGTGAAGCTATGCTGAAGGCACTAGAAATATTAACAACAATTCTTGATGTAGATGTTTCCTTACAGTCATTAGAGGATGAAGAATCTATTGAAGCTATTGGTACTACGTCAATGTTCCAAGTGTGTTAATAGCTAATTTGCTTATCATTTAAATTTCAATTATAGCCATAAAAAGCAATAAAAACTTTATATATAAATAGCAAAAATTTTTACAGGCGATATCACTAATGCTACAAGTGCCGAGTACAGTTGCAACCATTACTCGATCCATTAATGAGAAAAAAATGAGGATTTCAGCAGAAAATCAGGAAATTTCTGTAAAGGTTAAATGTAAGGAGACCACCAACTTGTTCATTAAATTTGAAGAAACTCAAAAAAGGAGGCAAAGTAAGAGATAATTTAAGATAAATTTCTCCTTTTCAATATTTTTATAGCCAAAAACAAAATTTTTTGATAGCCCAAAACTTTGTATTTCTATGATCAGAACGGTCAATTTCCATCTTGGAAGATAATTGAAATTGCAAAATAATTTCAAGGTTTCATTCCAGGCTTGAAGAGAAAGAAAATGGAAGTTGAAAAAGTGAAAACTGGTGAGTTTATTATTTAAATTTTGTATTATTATGCATATCTTCTTCAAATTAATTAAAGCTAGAAATTCAAAAATGTGGTGAATTGAAACCTTGTTTCTGCAATTCAATACAACCCTTATAGATTCTTTAATACTAGTGGCTCTCAAACTTTTTGCGCTGCGAACCCTTAAAGGTCTTAAAAATTATTGCTAGCTTATAATTTTAGATTTATAACGCACTGGGAATTAAGTAAGAAATTTAAATAAATGTATTACGGTTTTAATAAATATATTAAGATATTATTACTATATTAATAAAGTTATTATTATTATTCTGAAAATTATTTTAATTGCGGGAATCCTGAAACAGATTCTCTAGAAGCAAATCTCGCAGAATCTCAATGTCCATATTCTACTTGTAGATTCGCTGTTTCACATCATATAAATAGCTTAAACCCAGTTTAGATGGTCTTTGTTCTGAGAAACTTTATATCGAAATATTTTGAAGATGCTGTGAGTTCGAATAACTCATTTATTAATTGTAAATTTATTTTTAGAACCATTCAAAACGATAGAAAATAAAAGGCCAATAACTAAGGTAAATTTTATCTTAAGGGTAGATGATTTTAATCGAGCTTTTTCTATTTAAATGCGGTTTTTTAAAAAATTAAAATATTTTAAAATAATTTAAAATAAAAAAATTAGTTTTCATGCGGAAGAATATGAAATTATGCAACCAAAAAAACGAGGGAATTTATTTCTGGAAGAATCACTTAGATTTAATATAAATTTTGCTGAGAAAATTGCCTCTATAATTTGTAAGAAAATATAATTTTTTGTTATTTTAGGAAACAGAAAATATAACAGAATTAGTGACACTAGACCAGAATGCTTCTTTCGAATTTCGTACAAAACAAAAAGACATTATTGGTGCCGAAAATGTGGATATGAAAGTTTATTTGGGAGTGAGAAATACCGATCAAACAATGGAGCATACAGAGGAAGATGCTCAGGATCGAGAAGTTACCATTAAGATGGATGATGCCAAAGTACAAAAAGAGCTAAAGGGTCTATTGAATGCCATAGGAGTTAGAACCGCTGAAAAAGAAGTCGAAACTGATAAGCAAACTGCAAAACCTAAAGAATCACGAAAAAAACATGTAGAACTATCAGAAAAGCAGAGATCGACCAATGAAAAGTTGCTAAAGAGGGCTGAAAAAGCTAGTAAAGCTGAAATAGAGCATGAAATTCCTCAATTAGATGAAAGCGAATCGAAATACATAGAAATCAAGCGAAATGAAGAAAAAATAAAACCCGAAAAAGATATATTAATGGACCAAAATAGAACGATGCAAAGAATTGAACAGAAGAAGAAGATCCCAAAAACTTTAGTTATACCTGCTGAAATAAGCTCAAAATATGGTGACAAAAGTACTCTTCTATCAGAAACATTCATTACAACACAAGTAACTTTAAATGAAGCCACTGCGGAAGTCGAAGCTGTTCCATCTCCAAGGCCTCCGTCTGCCACTATAACGATGAAAGTTGATTCAGCCAAAAACGTGAGATCTCGGCCTAGCACTCCGAAGTCGGCAATAGCATTCACTTTCAAAGAAGCAGTTGAAAGTGTCGAAGAAAGAATACAGAAAAAGCCAAAAGAACGTAAGGATCTTCCACCATTACCTAAAGCCGTAGCGATAATTGAGCCTGAACCCTTCACAGAATTAAACACTATGATGATCAATGAGGAATGCAAAACTATTAAAAATATTGGATTTTCCATTTCACAACTAGAAAAACTAACTTTTGAGATAAAAGCAATTAATAAAAAAATAAAAAAACGCAAAAAAGCTGAAATAGCGCAAGAAGAAATAAGCGTAGAAGAATTTAAAAATGATTGGAAATCGAAGGATGATAATTTGGAAAAAAACATAAAATTGAAAGAAAAGGAAATAAAGGAAAAGAAACCGAAGGAGGAGAAAGCCATCAGAAAAATGAGAAAATCGGTCGCTAAAAGAATGGAAGAAAAGCATTCAGAAAAATCCATCACAAATATCAAAGATGAAGCAGATTCCAAGGTGTCAGAGGCCCATGATGAAAAGAAATCAGATTCACAGGAAAAAAAAAAATCACCAAAAGTGCAAGGATTCGATGAAGAAAAGGTAGCGACGGTAAATAAGAGAGAAATGGTGAAACCAGAAAAAACAAATGTTGACGCTAATAAATTGATAAAGGAAAAGCCAGTTGAAAACGCTGGAAAGGAAAAAGATCAAGAAGTGAAATTTACTAATTGGATTGAAGCAAAGGAAGAAGAAGTAAAAACTGTTGAAAAAGTAAAACAGCAGATAACTAAAATGAAGAAAACTACCGAGATTGGCGTCGAAGCACAGTTTAAACAACTTCAGAAAAAGTTGGCTGCTATGAAAATATTGAATATACCCATAAAAGCTGAAGAAAAAGCCAAAGAAACTATTCATGAACACAAGATAGAAAGAAAGGAACTCGATCAAAAAACTATTGAAAAAGATGAAAAACCTGGCAAAAAGAAAGAAAGAGTCCCGCAAGAAAAAGGCTTTGATAATAAAATTATTGGCCACATTTTATCCAAAATGCCTGAATTGTTGTATGAGGAATTGGAAATATCACTCGAAAATGCGACACAAACAAACAAATTGAAAGAAACTGAAAGAACTATAGGAAAAAAGAAATCGAAGAAAAATAAATTGGATGGTGAAATCAAAGTGCCAACGATGGTGCAAATTGAAGGACTTCAAAAAGAAATTGAATTTGATATGCCATCTGATGAACTTCAAAAAGCTCGAATACTGGATGTCGAAAAGACTAATTATGAAGTACGTGTACGGAAAAAGCGTAATGGCTTCCTAATACCTCCAGATCAAGAGGTATTTGCTCTTCGTGATGAAAAAATCAGAATTGAGTGTGAGCTATACAATGAAGAAGATGAACTTTCATGGTTTTTAAATGGTAAACCAGTTTCGGATGATTGCAGATGTCATGAAGAAAGCTTAGGGTTCATTCGAGCTCTCAATATTAGTAACTTAATTCCGCAAGATACAGGGAGTGTAATATTGGCAAGAACAGGTGATCATTGTTGTCAAACGATATTGTCAGTGGAAGATGTGCCTGTAGATATCATAGCAAAACTTCCTCGTCGATCTTTTGCAAACGTTTGTTTATTAATTTTTCTATTTTTAGTGAATTTTCCTAATATGATCATGATATGTAAAAATAAATCTGAAAAAATTCAGGAAACGTAAATTCCGGAAAAATCTAGGGACGATGAGGAAAATAAATTCATGAACTTTCTATCCTTAGTAACAGAATTTGATTTAAGGTCGGTGGATCTGTAAATCTTTCGGTGAAGACATCACATGCTGCTGAAAATGTTCTTTGGTTTCGTAACGGTGATGAGTCGCCACTGACTCAAAGCGATTCCGTCAAAATTATTTCCCGAAACAATGAGCACCAACTAATAATCAAAAATTTAACCTATGATTATGCTGGTCGGTATACAGTAAAAGCTGAAGATAGAGAATCATCAACGATTTTAGAAATACACGGTGCTCCGACTGTTGATGAAACTCAAACATCGAAGATCGAATTAGAAGCAGGAGAAAACCTCATATTAAGTACAAATTTCACGGCCATTCCTGAACCCACAGTCGAGTGGCTATTTGAAGGAAAGCCACTTACTGATAATTTAAAAGTTCAGACTGAAGTAGTTCAAGAATCTGCACATCTTTGCAAACGAAAGGCTTCAAAAAAGGACTCTGGAATCTATACTGTAAAAATTTCAAATGAATTTGGTGAAGCTACAACGAACATCTTTGTACATGTCAAAGGTTTTCGTTCCTCTTATCTTCGACTGCCATAATAAAAAAATTTTAAAACCTATACAGTTCGGGCAGATCGATCGTTTACATTTTGTGAGAAACCTTCAAACTTCTTCCTCCTCAATTTTCGTCTTGCCTTATGAATAAATTAAATAAATCCATTGGCATTTAAAAAATTGCCATAATTCTAAGTCAACATTTGCCATTTAGTGTAAGAATGACATGGTTAGAAATTTGCAGACAGGTAGAAGAACGATAAATTTAAATCACGATTAAATGAACAGTAATTGGGTTAGTTAGCATTCACTATTTCTGGTTAGGCCCGATATACTATTTTGAGAGAGAGAATTTCTCTAGAATGTGTCAGTTGAGAAAAGTTCAGACGATTCCACGAAATAATCCAGATTTTTCAATGAGGTTTATTCCTACCAAGCAAAGGGGTCGAATGATGATAATAATATAGACAATACAAATATAACAAATTATCATATTGCCTCCACATCGCAATTAAAAAACCTAGTATGAAGTGAAGATCACTAAAAATCTTATCTCTGGCAATAGCAAACAATTTCAGTGATAAAGGGGAATTTACATGTCTACGATGCTCAAATCTATCTTACTCTGGCCTAAATTTTTAAAAAAGTTGATTTATATCATTTGCAATATGCACTATTTTATTTGTATAAACTGTCCTAATTTTTTTACAACGATTTACTATGCAGATGTACCAGAAGCTCCTATTAATCCACGCATAATTGAAATAGCTGCCGACCGTGTTACGGTTGCATGGGATATGCCTAAAGATGATGGTGGTAGCTCTATTATTGGTTATGTCCTTGAAAAGAAGGAATCAAATCGACGTGCTTTTCATCACGTAGCTCAGGTTAATTGCTGTTTTAAATCTGATAATAAATTCAATTCAATAGAGTGTATTTCCTTAATCGTCTTTTCGGTAATAGATAAGGCAAAGTAGTAGATAAAATTCTTATAAATTCTAAATTTATGTATGATATTTTTAATTTATGTATGATCAGTAACATAGATAAAACTGTTAGTTAGCGTGATCTAACTATCCTCATTTAGATACTGGTAGTATAAAGTGAAAGTTAAAAAGATTTATTAAACTTCAGGTGAGTGATGAAGAAACTAAATACATTCTCGATGGTCTTGAAATAAATAGTAGTTATGTCATCCGTGTAGCGGCAAGCAATAAATATGGTATAGGAGAATTTATCGAATTCCCCGCAGTCACATCGGAGCTATCACTGGAAGCACCAACTATAGAAAATGCTCCAGTCATAACGAATATAATCGAAAATGTAATATTTTTCCAACTATTCTTATCAAATTTTTTTCTAAAACTTTTTTAATATTTTTTTTACAATGTTGTTGAATATCATCTTTTTTTTTTTACGAATTAATCCATCAAACAATTTCTTAAATATTTCGCCAAAATTTTAACAAAATTGTGATACATAACAAGATTTTTAAATTATGCTTCTGGGGATAGATAAATAAAAAAATTGCTGAATTAATGGCATTTCATTATCTTGCGCTTACAGGGCTGCATGCTCGAATGGCAGGACGTAACGAAAGATGGTGGATCACCCATTTATGGATATGACGTTTTCTGTAGACAAGACAACGCTGAATGGGTCAAACTTAATGAAGAGCTTCTATTCACGAAGCGTTACAGTGTAACTGATCTAATACATGGCTCTTCTTATGAATTCAAGATTGAGGCAACTAACGAAGCTGGATTAAAGTCTAATTCAAATGTTGCATCCGAATCACTTATGCTTACACCATCAATATGTTAGCTATTTTAATATTACTGGATCAGTTTTTTAATGAATAAAAGTATAAAAATTTCTTCTTTATTTTCACTTGGTTTTAGAGCACATGAAATGAAAGTGCCAAATTTATAATTTGATTTTCAGCAACATCCAAAAGAAAAATCATTCCTCGGATAATAATTACTGGACCTGACAGTGCAACTGCCGATTGGGATGAACCAGAGCTTGATGATGATAATATTACATCATATACAATTAAATATAAATCGGAAAAGAGTATTATGTGGTTTGAGGTATATTTGTTTGAGGTATAGGTAACGTTTTATTTTCATATTAGTTATTGAGACAAATTCACTCATAATTCAGGCAGAAGTGGAACATCCTCCAGCAAATATTTCTGGACTTAAAGAGGGTGTTGCATACGTCTTCAAAGTTGCGGCTAACAACGCTGCTGGCGTCGGCGAATTCTGTGAGGAAACGGAGCCGATCAAAGTTACAGGTTAGTATCGACCTACAATATTCAAATAATTTCAAGATATCAATATAACAAGAATGTAATGAGAACTATAATTCAACTTTATTCTAAGGAAAGTAAATATGAAAATAAAAAATAATAATATTAGAGGATTTTTCTTAGTAGTAATAATTGCAGCTAAAATACATCCTGAAATAACCAAGAGTATCAAGGATACTTCAGTGCCCAGAAAACGAGAATTGCGTTTAGAGTGCCATGCAAGAGGCGAACCAACACCGCAATATATCTGGTACAAGAATGGTGAAGAAATTGTTCCGATTAATGATAATATAGAGGTCATTCATATTCTATATTACATATAAATATATATATATTACATATTACATATTTCATTTATATAGAAATATATTACATATTTCATTTCCATTAAATAAATATTGAATGTTTGTTTTAGGTTATTAATGAAGGCTATATGAGTATACTCTTAATACATTCAACAACACAAGAAGACGCTGGAGATTACGAGTGTAAAGTTAGCAATGAACTTGGAGTAGAACAATGCAATGCAACAGTAAATATTTCAGGTTAGTAGAACTTCATTAACGAATGAAATCTTTCGGAGCATAGCATAGAGGCATTATTTTAATATAACAGGACTTTTAAAAATATCTTATAAGAATTACAAATGATATTCAAGAATGGTATCTAAGAATAAGAAAGAAAGAAAGAGAAAATTTTTTATGAAATTTTGCTCAGAATTTTGAACTTACAGAAGTTCGTGCATATTTTCAATCATCATTTCCGGAATTTATGGAAGTTGATGAAGATGCAGATGCATTCTTCAAATGTGAATTATCTGATGCAGACGCATCTATTTTATGGTATAAAAATGGTCGTGTCCTGGAAAAAAGTGATCGAACAATTATCCTTGAAAAGGGAACTGAACGACAGTTAATTATTAAATGCGTTAAACCAGAGGACAGTGGTGATTATGAATGTGTAACGACTGATGGACGAAGCAAAGCCTTTGGCATACTTTGCGTAAAAGGTCACTTAGAGTTTTTATTACTGAAAGCTAAAGTGCTAACTTCTCTTAAAAGGTCGAAAAATTTGAATAAATAAAATATATTCCAAATATAACTGTTATATTTTCACATGTTTATTGAGCCGAGTAGGTATTCCGCCATATTATTTTAATATTTGCATAACTATGGTAGTACGATCGTCCTAAGTATGTGAATAATTTGCACTGAAATATGCTAGGTAAATAACGCCATAATATAGATTTTTGGAAATATAGATCGATAAAAGATAAATGGCACTTTCAAATGTTAATTTTTTTAGAAGATGAACCGCACATCAAACAGGGCCCTCAAGATCAAACAATTCAGAAGATCGGAGAAAATGTAGTATTAACATGCGAAGCAACTAAGCCTTTTAAAACTATAAGATGGTTCAAGAATGGAAAAAAAGTTTGGCCAAGAAGCGATAAAATCATAATAACAACGCATGGCCCAATCTCGACATTAGAAATTGCGAATTTCGATGAACGTGATGAAGGAGAATACTATGCACATCTCGAACGAGATGAAAGAAGCGTATCTGCTGTACTACAACTGAAAGTCAAGCCAGAATTACTGCTGCCAAAAACACTCGAAAAAAAAATTACAACGAATGTAGGAGCAGATCTAGATTTCAAATTAAATTTTACAGGGCATCCAGTTCCAGAAATTGAAGTCACTCTAAACGACGAACCACTTCAGAAAAATAAAGCGTTAATTGTCAATTATGAGAACACCATTTCTATTCGCTTGCACAGCCTTGAGCGACAAGATTCCGGAATACTGAAAATAATTGCAAAGAATAACAGCGGATTTGACCAGAAGGAAATCCATATAAGCGTTGCAGATATTCCATCACAACCAAGAAATTTGAATGCTTCGAAAATTTCTGAAAACTCAGTTTTATTGAACTGGGACCATCCAGCCAATGTCAATGGTTCAGCAGTGCTAGAGTATATAGTAGAACGTAAAATGGCTGAAGCAGGAAGATGGCGTAATTTGGCCAAGATAAAAGCATCTGAAACAAGATTTGTGGCAAATGAATTGCTCGCTGATTCCATCTATGCTTTCAGAATTTTTGCAGTCAACAGTATCGGAAAAAGTCCGCCTAGTAATGAAATAGATGTTATAATAAATACAATGGAAATTTTAGAACTAAGCGAAAAGAAAAACGTTAGTCGAGATATTGTCAAAGCTCCAGAAGTTAAGATAACATCAGAGAGAGGAATACTTATAATATGGCCTGAGGTTTCTGGTGCTAAATCATATAGAATTGAAAGAATGTCCAAACATAAGCTATCATGGCAATGCATTGACATAATTAATACAACATCTTACGAAGATCGCTCAGTAGAATTCGATACAATTTATTTATTTCGTGTTATTACCATATTTAACAATGAATTCTCTCCACCAAGCGAACCGTCGGATGAGATTTCAGTTCCAAGACCAGTTGAAGCAAAAGAAGATGAAGGATTGAGTGATCGAAAGACTAAGAAAATGGAAGAAATCGAACTTGAAAATGGAGAATTAGAAAAGTACCTCAGCAAAACCGTGGTTTCGTTGGATCAAATGCTCGAGATTGCAAGCAATCAAACAGAAGAAAAATCTAGGAGAAAAGCAAAAAAAGACGCGAAGAAAGGAAAAAAAACCAAGGAGATAGTAGTAAGCAAAGATTACATTACTGAATTTACAGAATTCGATAACAATGAACGACCACCTAAATCTATCAAACAGAAACAAGAAAAAAAGACCATCGTATCAAAGAAGGAAAAGAAGAGTGAGCAGCTCGAGGAAATATTACAAGACGCAAACGAACTGCAGATAAGTATTCAAGATGAAAATCTGATTGAAAGCAAAGTTGAGAAAAAAAAGAACGTCGTCCAAAAAGCCAAATCGAGTGGGGAACAATTTAACCAAGCTGATTATTCAAAGAAATTGGAACAAAAAGTCAACGAAGGCAAGGAAACAAGGAAAAAAGTAAGCAAAGAGAAAATTAGCGGAAAAATGGCGGAAAATGGAACTTATGAAGCCAATGGAGATTACATTGAAGAAATTCAACCAATAAAGGAAAAACAAGATAAAACGAGAAAACATCATAAAACGGAAGTGCTCGTGTTAGGTGAGCAACCTACTGTTAAAAAACAAGGCGTAATCGATAAAGAGGAGGATCAAAAAGTTGCAAAAGATAAGTCAAATGTGGACGACATGGATAGTGAAATAAAGGGATCAGATGCAGCAACTGATGCTGATAAGGCCGAAATAGTTGCGGAAAAAATTGCCGAAAAAAAATCAGAGAAAACAAAGGTTTCTGTGAAAAAAGAAGAAGAGGAGAGCAAAAATGAGATTACAGATAAAGCCATTTCAGAAAAGTCTAGGAAAGCCACACAATTTCTTAAAGTAACAGCTGAAAACACTGAAAAAATTTTATATTTTAATACAAAAGCTGAGTTGCTGGCAAATATTGAAGGTGACTTCGAAAGATGCCTTTGGACGCATAACGGACAACTTCTGGATGAGAAGGATATAAAAACGTCGACAACAACCTCAGTGTTACATTTAAATAAGATCAATGAAGCAACCTCTGGAAAATACATCTGTTCTGTGGAAAATGCATTGTCCAAATCTTCAGTCGATTTCCACGTTTCCGTTATCGGTTAATTTCCACGTTTCCGTTATTTCTTTTTTTTGGCTTAATAGTATTAGAAGTGAAAAGTGAAGGATAACCTGAAAATGTCAAAGTAGTATAAATGTTTGGTCTGTCACATGGTTAATGGGTTATATTTTAAAATAACATGATATAAAGTAATTTTAGATGCTCCAAAGATTGAGTTGGCAGCAAGATATGTTGAACTGAAAGCAGGTGAACCACTGAAGCTATTTGCCAGTGTAACCGGTTTGCCAAAACCTGATTGTATATGGATGAAAGATGAAACCGTATTAAAGACCAAAAAAAACTTTTGTGCCACTTATCTCAACGATATAGCGACACTAGTTGTCGATAAAGTTGATGTGGCGGACTCTGGTATTTATAAAATTCTCGCAAGGAATCCTTTTGGAAAATGTGAAATGGATATAAAGGTTACAATCAAAGGTAATAATTTTAATAATAATTTTATAAAATGAAAAATGTTCTTAGAATTTAGTGCATGAAAAGATAAAAAAAGATAAAATTGTAATTTTAATCGTAAATTTTTTCCAAGCATTCGTCTAATTTTGAAATTTTTTATGAGGAAATAAGTCCCTTTCCACCTATCTTATCATTTTGCAGGTACTCCATCAGCTCCAATTGGTCCTTTAGAAATTTTAAGAATAACCAACGAATCTTGTCATCTTGCATGGAAACCACCGAAAAATGACGGTAACAGTGAAATTCTCGGATACTGTATTGAAAAACGTGATTCTCAAAAGACAACTTGGGTTTTTCATTCACGCGTGACAGAAAAAGAAACTGATATAACTGGGTTGAACCCTACTATCAAATATTATTTTCGTGTTTCAGCTGAAAATGCCTTGGGTAATGGCGAATACCTCAAAACTAAGGAGCCGATTCAGCTGAAGAGTGCACTAGGCAAGCCAATTTTTTTCTGACTTAAATTTAAAAATTTTTTCGAAAGTTTATTTCCAATTGAGATGGTATGACAGAATATTTGCCATTTTTCAATATTAAATAGGATTTAATAAATTTCCGAAGAGGAGATCGTATGCTATTTTAACTATAATATTTCGACTCTATTAATTCTTTTTAGCAAAACAAGAGAAATTACTATCAAAGCCAACCATGAAAGCCGCCACTGAAGATTCCATAACAATCGGATGGGCTCCTGTTGAGAGTTCAGGTGCAATCACATATAAATTGGAAATGAAAGAAAGTAAATCGAAAAACGGCTGGATTGTAGTTGCTGAAGAACCCACAGTGAAAAATTATATCACTGCCAAACAGTTAAAACCGGGAATGCTATATGAATTCCGAGTAAGAGCTATCAATGAAATGGGGGAAGGATCATTGTCACCAGTTTCTGAGCCTTTTCAATGCATAGCGAAGAAAGGTAAATTAAGTCTTAGGCTTTTTTCCAAACTATATAACTACAATGTAATTAAGTTAGGAATGGTACAATAATTTTATAATTTTATAGATATAATATCGATGAAACCACCTATTTTCACCAGTTTTATTGATGATACTGTTGCAATGATAGACGAAAAAGTGAAAATAGAAATCCATTTTGATGCTGGAACCGACCCAGAAATTCACTGGTTTAAAAACAATGAAGAAATATTTCCCACCCAACGAATTTCTATCGAAAAAATGAGCAGCTTCTCCATACTTACTATAGCCGAGATGGCCAAAGATGATGAAGGCGACTTTCAGGTTTATTTTCTTCTAACAGCAGTTATAGAGTAAAAGAATGCGATACTTCCGATAGATAGATAGCGAATTGGACAACTAATGATTAGTGTAGTGATTCTTAAATTAAGAGCTTTTTAAGATTGTGGTATCGAACGAAGCTGGGAGCGCAAAGCATAATTTCAGTCTTTCATTAATTTCTTCTCCACATATCTTCAAACCAGAGTTATATTCTAAGCCTCGAATACATGATAAAGGCGAATATGTCAAGTTAAGTCTCAAATTTAATGGTTAGTCTTATGTGTTTCCTTGGCATGCAGAATTGTTCGCCCGCTTAAAAGTCTCACAGATTTTATGCATAGGATGTATAGTAAGAAGAAAATTGTTATCAAATATTTCAATGCTTTTTGAAAATAAATTTGTTTGTTTAGACTTTTAATAACTTAATTATCTCCACTTACCTTATTTTCTCCTGCTTCCTCAAAAAGATGAACTAGATCATCCTCTGCATCTTCATATTAATTCAGAGTCTATTGATTATTGTTAAGTTTGTTTAATGGACTTAATGAAAAGTCTCAAATTTAATGAATATTCTTCACGAAAATAACCTGTCAGTGAGCTTAACTTTTCATGGTAACATAGAAGTTTAATGATTCGTGGTGATATTGCGATATTTGTCAAATGTAATATTTATGCAAAAAAATCAACAAAGAATCAATAGAAGAAATGAAAAAAATATCAAAATTTATCAAAATTTTTCTCATCCATCTCTTTTATTAAAATTCATCTAATTAATTATAACTTTACATAGTGAATATAAATAAGAGAACATCTAATATGAAAATATTCCAAGAAATGTTTGGACAATTTCGTATATTCCTAGCTAAAAAATCATTGTCTTTTTTTGGATTCATTTAATTATTAATTAATAATTTTCTTTATTGTTCAAACTGATTTATAAGCAAACATTTGTTGCTACTGCTTTTATTTTAATTACCAAATAACAACTGATGTCATGAAACCAAACAGTATCATACTTCATCGTTATCCCGTTTTAATATCGACTGAATGGTTTGTTCTTGTTTAAGTTGCTCCATTTTTTGTTGTTCAGACTGTTGTTCATCTTGAGCAACCTTGATAAAGTTATCAACAATTATTGTGATTGGCAATGCTAAGACAAGAACGCCACACATAATTGCTGCTGATGCTATGATCTTCCCCACTGAAACATTTCACTTAAAAATTTAGCCACTAATTTCACTAGATATATATATATATATATATAATGGGCATTGTGCTCAATAATTGTCGTGAGAGAGTCGCAACCGTTGAAAAAATATAGTAGTCAAAAATTTATAGTAGTCAAAATCACTCATAAGTAGTAGAAGAATTTGCTAATAAAATTATATTACAAGTTAGTGATACTAACTGAAGTGGTAATTGAAAGTTTTGCTGAACAGAATTTTTAGATCTTAGTCTTGGATTGGCCAAAACTTATAAATTAAGGCTGAATTATTGTAATTTTGTGGCCCTTTTCTTATTAATCTTCGGAAAGAACGGAGGCTTTCTTAAAAACATTGTAGAAATGGAATTAACATACTTGTTGTTGCTGGTACAGCGTCGCCATAACCAACCGTGGTCATAGTGACTATGCCTGAAATGCTCAGATTGCTGATCGATATTTGGCTCGATTGAGCGCTTTTAAAAAATAAAAAACTTATAAAAAAAAACTTACACCACCAATATGCAGCTGGTATACTTGTAAATGGTGTTCCATCCTCATCCTTTTCTAAAAAATAGATCATAGTTGAGAAAAATACCACTCCTGTGAGTAAAACAATTGTCATCATCTGTAACTGCTTCTGACTTCGTTGTAAGGTCATAGCGAATGTTTGTAGGCCAGAACTAAACCTTCCTAATTTTATGATCCGTATCACGCGAAGTACCCTCAAAATTCGAACAACTAGGAAGGCCCATCGTAGATCCCGTAATTTCTTATCATCAACACCAAAAAATGTTAGTAATAGCTCCAAATAAAATGGCACAATCGCCATCAAATCCACAAGATTCAACGGTTTCAAAGCAAAGCGAAATTTTCTTGGAGCAGCAAATAATCGTAAGCAATATTCAACAGTGAAGAAAGCAATACATATTCGCTCAGTAAACACAAATGCTGGATGTTCGACTCGAATTTCCTCTATTTTTTCAACCATTTTTACAGTACCGTTCGGAAAAATTACTGTTTCATTATGTGAAGGCAGATACTGAGTTACCTACAAATATTCTCGTACCAAGATAATCGATTGTTTTTTATTTAAATTTAATAGAATATAAGATAAAAATAAATAATGAAACTAGAACATTTTCATAAATATAAATTTAATTAAGGCAAGGGGCAAAGCTCATTGGTTATACAGACATTTAGCATTAATTTCAGTGATTTCTGTTTCTTAATGATAGTAAACCTGTTATGAAAAGTAAAATTCAGATGATACATCCACAAACCAGAAATAAAAAGGCTAGAAGATAGAGATGAATACAAGAATTATAGGATGCAAATTATATTGGTTACATTCCAGCATCTACTTTTTTCCTCGGACTAAAATTTAAATAAATAAATAAAATTTTCTCCTATTATTTCTCGCATTTGTATCAAATTGATAATGTAACTTCACTGGTGTTATTATTATTTTAAAATATTGAATATTTCAATCACTTAAAATTCGATTGTTGGCATTTTGCATATTTATAACATTTCCATTTTATCAATAGCATCAGCTTACAAAATTTAATTCTATTAATTCTTCTGAATTATTCAAGATTTTTGAGAATCCAAAATTTTTTTGAAAGAGAAAAATTATGTAGATTGTGAATACATATATGAGCAGTTTTTTGGAAATTTTTTCTAAGAAATCAATCAAGTTTTTCATGCGTTGTTAAGTCAGTATACATAAGGACAGTATGAGCTATACTGTAATTATTATAAACTGCCAAATCGGCAGTAAGAAAAGTCTTAAAATAATTCTTATAGTAGAAGAACTCTTGGAGATAGTTTTAAAGAAAGAGTTAGGGAAAATAAAAAAGGATCCAAACTGAAGGATATGTTTATCGTAACATATAAATTATTTAGCAACGAACCTACACGAATTCAAAAAACCTCAAAATTCAAAATTGAAATTTGGTTAATAATGAGTCATTAATTACTAGAAAATCCTTAAATTAAAACTACCTGAAAGTCCGGCACAGTACCAAAGCTTAAACCCATAACGGAAATAGCCACAAACAAAGTTGACGATAATTCGAAAGATTTCGCTTGGACAGATGATCCTGGATTCTCTAAAAACGTCCACATTCGTCGCCTTATTTGTCCAAAAATAAGGTTATCGAAAGCTTTATTGTCCACCTAAAAAAACCTAAGCTAGGAGATGAAACAGATTAGTCTAAAAGTGGGGACATGGTCGAGTGCTTTCGCCACTTGATCCGCATCGTTAGCTTAACTTGTTATTTTTAAAACATTTGAAAGAGCATTTAATTTTTTCTAAAAAAACTTGGGGAATTGAAATGCAGTTTGTTTATAAAAACTTATATTTTCATGCTTTTCTTCTGGGATCAATATAAATTTGATAATAAAAAAGGCTATCATGTGGCATATAGAAAATAGATATTTGTGGCGCCAGGTAGATGTATAAATAAATGTCACGTCAAAGTCAATACGATGTGAATATGCTATCAAAAAGTTCCTATTATAATGGGATAGAAATTCCATCAAAAGTTATACTTGCTCCAACGTTTTTTTACACTTTTTTTTCCTCAGATTGTATAATGTGAAGGCAAAATTATTTAACGCCAGCAACTTATGTACTCTACTTTTTAAGATTTTTCTTAATTTATTAGCAAAAAATACTTTGTGCTGAAGCATTATTTAGAATAAGAGTGATGAACTAACTCGTAATTCACCTTTTCTTCTTCTTTTTCTTCACTTTTTTCTCGTGGAACTATGTCTGCACAACATGAACCTACATATTTATAAGAAATCCGCCAAAATTCCAATTCTGCCAAAAATGCTGCAGGGCAGATTTCGGGAGGACGATGGATTACGCCAGTAGCATAATATTGAAATACTGCATCAAAAGCAGAAGCTGATCGTTGAAAAAAATAGGAATCTTCATTTGATATGTAAGCATCAGCAACCTAAAAAAATTCTTGATTTCAATATTGTGCCTAATGAAAAAAGATTTGCTCTAAATTCTAAATTATAAAATATAGAATAAATAAATGATATTTAAATAAAAAAAAATGCGCTTTTCTGCTTCGTTGTTAAGTAAACTATACATCAAAACTTTTAAGGAATCATTGGGAAAAGACTTAAAACAAAAGTACTTTTAATCTGGCCTTGTGACTGAGCTGAACAAATTTTGAAAGAAATCCAGATGATTCGGCTTTAAGTAGGGCTTGTATCAAGAGCAAATACGGCGTTCCACCAATATTGAGCCTAAGAAATAGAGGTGTACCATCTGGATCTCGCCCATCAGGCGGTATTACCTATAAAATAATATCGATTGCATAAAATGAGCATGAAAGACTATGATCATCTCACCATATGTGACGCAAATTGAGACAAAAAATTTTTATGGCGCTTAACCTGCGATATTAGGAACATCTTATCGGACAATTAACTGATCAAAATTGCAAAACTTTCAACTGCTGCACGCAATTTAGATTCTTTTAAAAGTCATAACTTACTGTTAAAGAAATTTGTGTTTATTTGAAATGAGATTTAGGCAAAACGAATCTTCGTGACTGACATCAATCATTTATCATAGATTCATTTCTAATACAATTATTCTAATTATTGCAATTCTAGTCGAATGCAAAGCTCTTTCTGTTTGAGTATTTGTGCTGTTTGTTTATGTTTCGGTTAATTTTGGTGTCAATAACTGATCGAACTGGAAAATAATTTTATTGCACTGATTTAAAGAATTATATCAGAATTTCGATATAATGTTCCCTTGGATACTAAATGCATTTTCTTGAATATACCTGTAGAATATATTCTTTAAAGGAATTTTTTGATTAGCAGGAAAATTCAAGCACAGAAATTTGAATTTTCGTAAATGAGCCATTTTTTAACTGAAATAATATTTTAAAAAAGCCAGCTTTCATTTTTATTATTATTGAGCTACTGATTTGTTCTGATTAGCTTCTTCTATTAAGTTTGTTCCATTATATATCAAGATAAAATCCCCTTGCCAGAAAGTTCGTGGGACAAAAGAGCAAATGAATTTATAGAATAACCCTGGAATAAGCTTTTTTTAATCAAAAATACTATTGTTTTACTATATTGTAAATAATCAATACTTCTTTTTTTATTGGAAATTTCATTTTTTTTTTTGCATTCAATGGAAATTAAAAATCAAATAAATAAAATATTTTAGATGTGGTGCACTAGATCACTAATAAAAGCAAAGAAGTTAATTGCACCATTATTTTAATTGACTTTAGTTCGTAAATTGATTTGACATTTAAATTTTGACACTCATGTTCAAGTATTATGAATTGACAAACTTAATTGATGTTCTAAGTTCAAATGTTTATATTTATAAAATTCCTTCTCCCATTCCTTGTAGGTGGTATGGGTCATCTTCGAGTCCTTTACTAGAGGCCTGGAAGCAATATATATGTACATACAGATGAGATATAGCAATACTAAATGGCAAGAAAGAAAATTAGAAAGGAAGAATACGAAAAGCTAAAGAAATATAGAGGATGAAAGAAGAACTAGATGTAGAAAGTGAGGACAAAAGAAGTCTCAGTGGTTAATAGGAGCACTAAGTTGTAACTGCTAAACTAGAAAAGTCATCAACAGATTTCAAGAAAAGCATTGGAGATCTCTGTTCAGAATAGCACTCTGCTAAAAACAGCTAAGATATTGCGCAGAACCCATATGATCCCAGGCTTTTGACAGAGAATTCTGTGTCATAAACAGGAAAAGGGAAAGAGATAAGTATATGAAATCACAGAAATCAACATTCAGCGACGTTACGCGATAGGAGCTTTTAGGCAACTTTCTTTTAATAATTCAAATGTAACAACTAATTTATAGTCTCTTTATTATAAATACTGTAAATTCTTTAACAACTTCCTTTAATGAATGATAAAATTTTTTTGAACACGTTGAGTGATTTTGATAAAACAAGTGAAGAACTCATTGAGCTATAAGAAAGATAACTGAGTAATTGAAATAATCTATTTTCGGCTGTTATGGATGATGCTATTTCTTTCGTTTACAGACAGTTTTTTCGTATATTTTTATTGAAATTTGAAAGTTATAAATGAGAAAATAAATCGAACAAAACGTCTTGAAAGAATTGGCGAACAAGATAAGAAATAGAAATTTTTCTTTTTTTATCCGTTATTTTTTTTTAGGGTTTCATGAATTCTATAAACAAATTTTTATAAACAAATCATTTTTTGCTGAAAAAATTTCAGTTAACTTTTCTGATAAATTCCTTGTGGATTTTTTGGTTTTCATAGTTTTTCAATAAATATGATCCGCATGGGCGATTTCTCTATTTGTAGAAGATGAAACAAACCTGAAAACAATCGGAACCATTGTTGCATATTTCATCTATTATATTTGCATTACATCGTTCTGCATTTGACATCGCATCCGTCTTCCGGAGCGGTATCAAACGTTTCTTGTGTTGCTGCGTAGCACTAAATTAATTTCGTTTAGTAGGCGCCATTCTCGAAAAAAATAGAGTTCATATTTCGAAAAAATATTTTTCCTATAAATATAACCGGAAAATTCGACACATCTTATTTTTTATTTTTTAAAATGTTTGATCTAGAAACAAGAGAAGGACATGAAAAATTGCCAAAAATCATTTTTATATTCACTATTCTAGTCTTATAATCGAGCTATTTAGTTATTGTAAATAGAATGCGATCAATCGAATCTTAAATTAACAAATAGTTGTTTCTGGAAAGATTATTTTTAATTGGAAACTTGTTTATTAGGAAACAATACAGAAATAAAAAAATTCAACCAAATATTGATTAGAGACATTACTTGGATGACATTACTTATTTCAAATGTATTCTTAGAAAAAATTTTTCAATATGGATGAGAATTTTAAACTGAGAATCCAGCAGTAATAAATTTTCATTCTATTTTATATTATTTCATTCTATTTAATTTTTTTAATCAAATAATTTTCGAAGATTCAAAATTTTCTATTGCAATTGTGAAGCTAAATTTATTCGTTTGTTTTTTAAATTGGATGTAAAAGATTTCCAACCAATTAGTTTTTTTTTCTATCAATCGTTCCAAGTAATCTAACTGAAACAGTAAATGACTGTTTGTAAAGGACATTTTTGTAAGGATATTTTGCTTTTATAAAGAAGTTTTAAAACGGAAACTTAAAAAATGAACCAACTTTATTTCAAAGTATTAAAATGAAGATCGCTTACCCACTGATCATATTGTTCGTCACCCTGCAACGTTTAAATCGCATTAATAAATCAGAATTAGGCAAGGGTAGAGATACTGATTGTCGGTGCTGTAGCACCGCTTGTGATATAGCTATGGTCATAAAATTTCTGATAATGATGGATTCAAATAGGACATAACATTTAATGATTTTGTTTCTCGAGATAAAATTTGCACAATATTTTCACAACGAATTCAGATGGCTGATTGTTATACAAGTATATAAGTCCAATTAGAAAAATCCAGAAACCATATATTCATCAAATAACTGATAAATTGGAATAATATTAAGTCTTTAAGCGTATACTTTGAGACTGAAACATCAATAAAACTGGTTAAGGTCCAACGGTTCAAATGTTTTTAGATAGAATTAAATACAAATTTTAATGGAATATGTGAAAATTGATGTGTTGCTTGTTGATATTTGCTAAGAAATTATGGTTGCTTAATTATAGAAATTATTTATATTAAGGCTATTATTCTCAGGCGAAATGATGCGATGATATTAGATTTAAAATCTCGATAGATAAAGAAGTTGATGCGATTGACGCTTGGATTCAATCAATTTGAAAGAAATTTAGCTGATTTGATGAATGCTGAAGAGCAGTTGACGCAGACATATGCAATTTCAATAGTGAAGTGAAGATTTATGGGCGGTAAAGCATACAAGGATTCCAAGCTTTAAGCAAATAGGATAACTTGCGGATTTAATTCATACATTGAGGAATCTGCTAAATACAACTGAACCCAACTTTTTCATTATTATTCTACCGTAATGACAAATTAGGCAAAATTGTTGGCCATAAACAATCGTCAAAAAACAAAATCATATTTAATGAAATTTTTTCCTGGCAAAGCTTTTAAAACCTCAAAATATTTTTAGATCTCTCGATATAGCTGGTAGACAATTTTCTTTCTTATTTTAAAATATTTTATGGAAATGGAGACACAGAAGAAACTCAAAATATTTCAAATTTAAACTAAAATTTGAAATTTAAAGCTATTTTTATATATTTTCCATTTTTAAGAATATCAGTTCCTAATAATTAAATTCAGGCTAGTTCCCTAATTTCACCAGTTTAATTATCTTAACAGTATCCATAGTATGCAAAATCAAAAAAGATCCCAGATAATCATTAAAAAACCTTAAGCAATAAGTTAAAGCGAAAAATTAGAACAATTATGAATATGTTCTGGATCGTTTATTTTTGCTCCAATCTAGCAATTTATGTTTGTCGGCTGAATTTAATTTAAGGTTTTTCGCCTATATTTAGTCCATTTCGGGACCAGATTTTACATGATAATTACAAAATGCAGGTGAATAAGAAAAGAATTAACCTTACTTAATTCTCTTATGTTGTATTATTACTTGGTTTCTGCAACACACTTCGATCCATAATTGAATGCCAGAATATGATTTTTTTATGGCATTAACAGTGAATAAAATAACAATTGGCACAATTGGCTGAATTTTTTACGATTATTTGAGAATATTTTGGATATCGGCATGGAGAATGATTTATTGGATTTCGAGCAAAAATTTTTAGATAATAGCGTATGAAATTTCGAGAGGTTAACTAATAAATATTTTTCAGCAGTTTGTGGTTGAGATTATAAGATGAACTATGTTGTGGAAGAAAAATTCTAAGACTCATGAATCCCCACTAGCAAATTTACAGAAAATTACATCGTTAAAGAAAAAATCCTAGGATCGATCGAAAAACATTTCCCACAAGTCAATGAAGTTTTATTAACAATAAATGAGAGAATTTTTATGGAGAACAAGGGCTTCTTGTCGATAATAAGTGAATTTTTCGTCACAGAAGAGAAAAGCAAGCAAATATAATAGGTATTATTAAATCGCTTATCCTTATAGACCGATTATATTTCATGGTTGACCTTCTATAAAATTTTTTTTTTCGTCGATTCTTCGTCCTTTCTCATCTATGTGATGAATGAAATCATGAAACTCAAACATTTGAAGTTATAAATCTAATTTCGAAAGAAAATAATTGAAAAAATTATATCGTTGAAAAAAAAATCATTTGTTACGAATTTTGCGCAGAAATCAAAGAAGAAAAATAATTTAATAAAGAATAGAGAAAAATACATAGACAAACTAAAAATCTAATCAATGAATGGATTTTTATAAATTTTTTATCCATATTTTTAGCATCGATAGAATAATTATTTGTCGTCTGATACAAAATTTATGATAAAAAATCATGAGATGAACAATGAACAAGCAGCGGAACAATTAATATTTCTAAAATGAGTCGAGCGAGAAGAAATTTTTCCACAAATTTTATGCCAATTTCAGCGAGATTAATTAGATTACTATCGCTTATTTGGTCATTCAGTTGGATTATACTATGTCACATTTATTTACTCTGCAGCTATTTTTAAAATACTCGCTTTTGTAATACATTAGGGTATATTCATAATATATATTGGTTCTCATATGTTATATAATAACTTGGTTTCTGTTTCTTACTATGGTCCATATTTATTGTTCACACTGTTGATAATTTACACTAATTTTCTTGCAAATCATTAGAGTCCCCGAAGTTAATAACAAGTGCTAGTTATTTTTTAGAATATTTTTAGAATTTCTGGAATAGAATTTTTCGCTACCATTGCTAATATCAAACTCAAAATAATCCAGTCCAAATTATGTTGCTGCTTTATAGTATTAACATGGATGCATTTATCGCCAAAAAATTAATTTTTTTAGTCTAGAAAATCTGCTAAAATCAAACTATTTTAACAATTGACCAGAGTCAAAATCAGTTTCTGGAATTCGATACTTACAATTTTCCATTAGATCTCCATTGGAGATTTAATTTAAATTAGCATTCCAACACTTTGAATAATTTGTTCTCAAATTTAATTACTATTGCTATTATTATTACTATTATCCATTACCTATTTAGTAATCACCTTTGTAGAAAAATATTTAACTTCTGAAATACTTCATATTTTATTATTATAGATTTTTTATAGAAATATATAACTGAATATGAATACATAAGTGAACCTTATATATTTATGAACCTTTCAAAGCAAATTAGATGTAGATGCTAAAAATTTTTGATGCATTTTTAAAAATCACAAAGTCTAAAAATTAAATAATATGAACAAGTCTTTCAGCAATATTTACTTGACTGCCCATATCTGACGTTTTTTGGTTTAATTTACTAGGCGAAATGACTTATTAATGCCGAATTAACAGATATTGGTTTCTCCTTAGATTTTTCAAAAAATTATTTAAATTTTACTTCAATTTAATTTTATTCGTTTTAAAAGAAAAACACCTTAGCAATTTAAATAACAATAAAAGCACAAGCTATTAAATGTGTTATAAGTGGCCTTTTGGCCAAATTTTGTTATGCTGCTTGCTGGCCATAAATCTACAGTTAAATTGTTTAATCTAAATCTGCTAGCTTGTCCATCAGTACCAAAGTTAGGTTTTAGTGATAATTTGAAGTCTGAATTGAGTTTTACAGCTCTACAGCTTAAAATTTGTTTTTAAAATTCAAAAGGGCATCTGGAGAGCAATGATAGGTGATAATCAATGCAAAAAGTATAAACAATGACTAGGAACTATGAAAGGCCAAGATGAAAACAATCAGATATGATATGTTTCAATGGTAATATTGCGAATAAAATTTTGATTTTAATATGCAACAAAAAATGGATTTTTTCAAGAATTTTAAATTGCACGATCGTTATCTTAATTTTAGTCCGATTTCTTTTTGTTTATCGACTGCTCCTACGGTCCAAATCCCTATGGACTCCGTCGTCATAATGACTACGGTCGCAATTTTAAGATAGTCGCTACACAAAAATTTCAAAATTTTTGTCTTTAAATTATTACATTAATGTTGAATATTTTCGTTATACGCTCTATTTTTTTTTTTGATTAATTCATCACAATCCATCTTTTTAAAATGATATAAAACTATGGTAAGTCAAAAGATAAGTAAGATAAAACATCATTTATATATTAAAAATTAATATATAAAGGTAGAATATCGGCATAGTGATTTTATTACGATTTAATTGTGCACTAGAATAAATAAAATAAGGATTAAAAAAGAAAACTTGTTTACCGGTGATTCAAAAGTATTTTTGCGATGATTACGATTATAAGGCAAACATTAAATCAAATTTTCTGAAATAAAAAAGTTCTATTTATTTATAAGCCAGTTATTTTAATATATTATTGTTGTAACAGAAATTTTTAATAATTATAGGCTCAATTAAGATGAAACTTCATTTATTACTGAAATATTAAAAGAGTGAAATATAGGCAACTTGTTGAAAACTCTGAATAATGTAAATCATGCAATAAATCATGCGCCAAATCTATTACTGTCGTAATTTGCTTTAATCATATGACTTTTCTATTAATAGTTCAATTTTTAAAAATATATTTGAGCGATAGCCAAGTGTACACTCCTCTTAAGTGTACACAAATTCTTTAAATGTAAATTCTGTAAATTCTTCTTTTATTAGCACTCACCCTTTCTGGCTTCGTTGGTTTTGCTTATCTAAAGTTGGAAACACTATGCGAGAAAGCCATCTGGAA